ACACTCTCTGATCTTCACACAGACGTTAGTTCTCCTCCCTTCTTATAAGAAGAGGGTTGGACTGTGTGGTCTGCAGGCTCAGGAAGGTGCATCGTCTGAGCTTCCAGGAGAGACTACACTTTATCAGCAGAGGTTAGAGATCGCGACGCTGACTCCTGGTGACTGCCTGCACAGCAGAACACATGCTGCCGTCCCACACAGCCCTCAAGATCACAGCCTGGCAGAGCCCATCATTGCGGCTCTTGTTCTAGTTCATCTCCCAAGAGTCTCCCTCAGCCTCACTGCCCACAGCACCAAACAGGATGCATGAAGTCTTCTTCGATCATCATTATTCCAGCTTTCATACGCTTATCAACCAATGGAAAATACCATGGCTCGGCTCAAGCACACCTTCCTCCCCAACGTAACACCCTTGCTTTTTCACGCTTTAAAGAGAGCTTTGGAAGCAGAGGTTGCCAAGCCCAAGCCCACTGCCATCCAGTCGATTCTGCCTGACCGTGACCTTTTGTAGGGTTTCTGAGGCTATAAGTCTTCTTGACAGCAAATTGTCTCATCTTACTCACACGGAGTGGCTAGTGGGTTTGAACCACCAACCTTGAGGTTAGTCCCCAACACTTACTCAACAGCGCGACAAAGGCTCCTTGCAGCAGAGGTAGGCACAGAGAAAGGGAAGGAAGACAGGTGACTCACACAGTAGAGTAGAAGAGGCATCCCGGCAGGCAATGAGGGACCTCCGTGATGACGTAACATCACAGAAGCTTCAGCTAGGGAAAAGAAGCCATAGCTCATGAATGGGCTGGGCCACTTGTCCTAACTATGGACCCTTTAGCTTCCTGGGCAGAGGAAGTTGAGCATTCCGTGCCAAGTTACGTTTTGGTAAGAGCATCTGAGAGACTTCCCGCCTGCCTTGTGGACCCTGGTCAGACTGGGGAAGAACAAGGGAGCCAAGTGCCCGGTGGTGAATGCCACCTCTGGCTACATCGATCCCGCTGGGCGCTCGGTGCCCTGGACTTCTGTGTACCTGAGCAAAGTTCCAATGTCTCTATTATATAGCCCCGGGCCACTTTGGGAAAACACGGTTTCTGGCACCAACAGAGCATCTCATTCATGTATGGTCTCTGTCCTGGGCTTACCGAGCCTGCGTTTTTATCAGAAGGGGGTGGGTAACACGTGAGGGGAAAATTGGCCATGTAAAGGGATCCTGAAAGAATGACATATTTGTCTGTTAAGTATAAATATGAACAGCCATGGAGATATGGGCCTGTGGTGTTGGGTTTTCTCTGCAGCAACATTCATCTATTGCCAGGAAACACTAGATTTAGTACCTGAGGGACTGAAGTTTCAAATACCTTATACTTTTTTTTTAATACTCTGCCAAGAATTTAAATTGGTAAAAGCTGGGGACTGACAAAATTTGATCCCCAAGAGCTTTTCTGGCACTCGTTTATCAGAGAAGACGGTGCCATTATTTTTATTATAATTATTATTTTTCCCTTTGGTGGGGCAAGAGCTCATTTATAACCCAGTGACTTCGACTCTCAGATGTATTTTTCTTTTTTGGGAGTGGGGGGTGGGAGGAAAACCCCAATGCTTAAATAAACAGAGACTTGCCTTTTGTGGTGGCGTTAGAAGTTGTCATTGAATTCACATGCAAGGGGGTTGCATGGTTTTAGGCCAGATCAGACACACATGAAAGGGGAAAAGCTAATTTTAGGGTATAGGCTGCCTCCAGTTTCCTACTACCCACGGCGGCCTCCCAATCCTTGGCTCCCACCACTCTTACCCCCAAATCCCTTCCCTGGGACTTTCAAAGAGGGCCCTACTGTTAGAACACACTGTAAACCGTGGTGACAAAGCAAGAGCAGAGAAGTCCAGAAAGGGACCTGAAGGCCTTGGTTCAAGTCCTGGCACCACCTTTTTTTTTTTTTTCTTTTGAGTAATGTAACTATGACTAGGGAACATTGAGGCTTCCGTGGGAGAATTCCCACTCTCCACTCAGGAGACCTGCCTTCGATTTCTGGATAGTGCACTGTACCCAAACCAACAACTGCCTGCCATCCCTGGAGGCCTCTGTTACCGACCAGGTTCCCGTTGAGTTTCTGGACTAAGAGTCAGAAGAAAGGCCTGGTGATCTATTTGCAAACCTGCCAGGGAGAAGCCAATGGATCCCAACAGTTTGATGCTCAGCCCAATGTGGGGGTGGGGCAGGACCAGACAGCACCTCGGTCATGCTGCTGACCATGGGGTCACCATGAGCCAGGGGGCTGATTCATCGGCAGCCTACAACCCCCACTCCAGACCAGGTCTCCTCTCTGCACCTTGGGTTTTCATCTGGACAATGATAACTGGCCTGTCTTCAGAGGGTTGCTGGGAGGATTTAATTAAACAAGATGGACGACATGAAAGCGCTGGGCACCGTGAGCGTGTTGGATGACAGTCTGCAGACGATGCACCCAGGGCTGGGGGCACAGAGCACCGCTGACTCCCTGCCCAGCTTAGACTCTTGACACAGCCCTTCTAGCTGAGCAAACTACCACCACCGCCGCCGCCGAGGCTCATAAAGCAAGAAGATACTATTTACAGGACAGCATCTTTACAGCCCCTCGTCCTCCCAGCAGCCGGCTTCCCGAGTCCCTGCAGAGCCTCCTCGGATTTTACCCACAAGCAATTTCCAGGGTCAGCTCACCGCCTCCTGCCCAGGGCACCAGCCCGGCCGAACCTTCCCGCGCAACCCAGCATGTCCGAGCCGGCTCAAAATGATTCGAGTTTTATTATACAATTAGATCAATTCTCCTAGGTGTAGTAGCCCTCCTCATACTTAGAAGAATAGATTAGCCATTAGGACTTTGTATATTTTTCCCAGTAATTGACACCACATCCCATTTTCTTCACCAATGGGAAAAAGAACCGCATAAAACAATCATGATTTGGGGGGCCCGCAGGCAGCGGGGAGGGGGCATGGGCAATGCAACACTGTCTCACCCCACGCCTGCCACCCCCCTCCCCCACCCCCTCACTCACAGTCCTTTGCCCGGCTCTGAATAGCTCTACAAGATGAGCAGCACAAGTCTCGTTTTGTTTTGTTGTTGTTGTTGTGTTTTTCATTCCAGAGCCCTGAGGCTCAGACTCCCCAAAGCACTTGACTTAGAATAAACCAGCCATCGTTTCTGCCACAGATAGACAGCCGGTCGCTGGTGGACGGGGCCTGGGCATTCTTCAAAAGCTCAAGGCAATGATGCTCAGTCTGAATTCGCCTGGCTGTTCTCCCTAATCTGGAAGTTGCCCCCTGAAACCCAGGCAGCAAGCTAGCAACATAGCAGCCTCCACTGACAGACAGGAGGCAGCTGTGCTGAAGTGCCTCGGCTGGGAGTCGAACCTGGGCCTGGCACATGGAAACAGGAACACTAGCATGACATCACAGGGTGGACTAGTCCCCTTCATTGTGGAGAACGAGAGGGCCATCGGCCGATGTTCTCTCTGTGTCCTCTTTTAAGCTATTCCAAGACATCACCGTTCTCTTCCTGGGTCGGGGTCATTGTGCAGGAAGTGGTTCCTGGTGTCCTTAGTTAGAATCAGAGAACAAGGAGATTCAAGGACCAGCGGGTGCCCAAGGCATCCCGAACACTTTCATCTCTGCATCCTCCTTCCAAACACCAAAGATTTGGACAGTGAACAAGAAGCAAATCGTTTGATAAAAAACAAAGCTCGCTGCTACTGAGCTCATGCCGACTCTGCGACCCACCTCTCCCTTGGAGCGGCTGGTGGTTTAGAACCGCTGACCTTGTAGTTAGCAGCCCAATTAACCTATGTGTTGCTGTTGCTAGGTGCCATTGCGTGAGTTCTGACTCACAGTGACCAGAAGCACAAATAACCTCCTGATCCTGCTCCGTTCTCACCATTATTCCCGTGACGAAGCCCATTGTTGCAGCCACGATGTCCATCCATCTCTTTGAGGGTCTTCCTCTCCTTCACCGCCCCTCTACTTGACCCAGCATGATGTCCTTCTCCAGAGACCGGCCTGTCCTGACTACATGTCCAAGATAGGTCAGATGAAGTCTCACCACCCGTGTCTCTAAGGAGAGCACTCTGGCCGTACTTCTTCCAAAACAGACCGGTTTGCCTTTTCAGTCCCTTTGTCCACGTTAAGTTTGGCATTCTTTGCCAGCAGCACCATCCTGATGTATCCAGGCTTCTTCGTTCTGCTTTATGCAATGTCCAACTTTCACATGCATGTGAAGCAATGGAAAATACCATGGCTTGGGTCAAACTAAGGTGCGCCTGACCCAAACCATTTGATGGATGGATTTAAATAGGAACGAGATGCCATCACCTCAGTGGGGAACTGGCTGTGCCCATATTTGGCACATCATCTCCACCATGGGCGTCCACTGGGCACCCCAGCCAAGCACAGACACCTCTGTGCTGGCAGACGACACCCACATCAGCAAAATGCAGCAGATGTGCTCAGATGTCCTGTCAAACATTTGCTTCCTTGGGCCATGTCCGAGCACCCGCAGCCTGGATGTACCAGAAGTGTTTTGGATGTTCCACTCGTGGCTGAAAAACATCTGGGAGCTGACAGCCCTTCCCAACTGGCAACTCCATGGGCTTTGACTACCTCAAGGGCTGCCCACAGGTCTGCCTGGGAGCTTGGCCAGGGGCAGACCTGGGCAAGAGCCATCTGTCATGGGCAGCCTTCCCTGCCTTCCCTCCTTCTCCTTCCTCCCAACCAGGCTTTCAGACAATATATCTCACCAGCAGCAGAACCAGTAGACATGGTATTTCTTAGCTTGGGTTCATATGTCCAAGGTCTCTCCACTGAAATTGCAGGGGAAGCGGAGTACACGTTTCCCCAGGAGTTCCATAAAGTCACTCAACCCTGAATGCAGAATTCCCTCAGCCCCCCTTTGACCATACTGGGCCACAAAAAGGATGTCTCTTTGAGGACTAAAGTGCTCCTGCCCTAAGCCACGATCTTTGCTTTTCTTTTTGCTTTTTACCAGGGGAGAGTGCGAATGTGGTCCCTCACTACCATACATTATGCAGTTGAGTTTCCCACATTGTGGGAAATCACAGGGGTCAGCACACCCAGAGTGCAATGGATGAGCCTCAGCCTGGGAAAACCACCTTCATGACCAAGCCATGGTTTTCCAGTGGCCTCTTACACATGTGAAAGTCGGACATCGAATGAGGAAGTCCTAAGGGAAGTCGGTGCATTTGAATTATGGTGCTGGCGAAGACTACCGAAAGTACCGCGAGCTGCCAGAAAGACAAACAAACCTGTCTTGAAAAAGTATGACCCTAGGGCCCCGTGGAGGGAAGGATGGCGAAACTTCATCCCAAGGACTTTGGGCCTGTTGTCAAGAGAAACCAGACTCAGGAGAAGGACATCAGGTTTGTTTGGTAAAGGAGAGGGGCAGCAACGGAGAGGGAGGCTCTCAAGGAGATGGATGGACACCGTGGCTGCAGCAATGGGCTCACGCATGGGAACAACGGTGCGGATGGTGTCGGACTGGGTGGTGTTTAGCTCTTTTGTCTAGAGGGCTGCTATGAGCCGGAACCGCCTCATTGGCACTAACAAGAACAACAGAGACAGGAGTGCAAAACAGGACTCTCACCACGACCTCTCTCGCTAGTTCTGAAAACAGGTAGCTTTTGGTCTCTTCTCAACACACAAGTCTGCCTTCATTGTTGAGCAAAGTGTGTCCCCCTGCCTCTGCAGCCCCACTATCAGCCGGGGGCCAAGTTTGGTGCAGTGTTCTCCCACCGAACCCAAACCCATGAGCCTCTGAGGGTCATGCCTCTCTCTGGTCCCCCAGATGGCCAGAACTGCCCCAGCTGGGCCCCTTAGCAGATACGGGCCCCAAGTTTCAGTTTAATAGGACAGAATTTGTACTGCTTTGGGCCAGGGAGTTTTAAGAATGGTTCAAATATGTGAAAAACACAGGCTTTAAAGAAAAACATTTGTTTAGAAAACAATTCCAGTTGAAGGGCTCCATGTACTTTGTATCTGTCCCAACACCCCCTCCACCCCTTTTGTAGAAAAGCAATGAGAGCAACCCCATGATTCCACTCCATTGGGGTGGTGGTGGCAGGGGGCTTCTATTTCTTTCCTCTGGGATTTTATTATTATTATTATTAGTTGAAAATAAAAGTTTTTCTTTCCCTATGTGGGTTTACTGCCTTGGATCTCTCTACCCTCAAGGAGTTTAAAAACTTGAAATAAGTACGATTAGATTTTTCTCAGCAGATCCAGGCCTGAGTCTCTGGCATGAGTACATGGGGTCCAGCACTGTGTGCTCCCTGAGAGAAGAGGGTGCTCATGGACCACACACCATGGTGACAGGTTGGTGCACATAGTCAGCACTTCATGCGACTAGGTTGCATGGATAAGGGAATGATGGACACAGCAGTAAACTGGTCGCTGGAGCATCAACTTGGTGCCTGTCATCCCACACACAGTGACCTCAATGGTCCTTGACGCCACAGAGTTCTCAATGGCTGGGTTTTCTGAAGCTTTCTTCGGAGGCAACTCTGGGTAGACTAGGACTGCCAGCCTTTCAGTGAGCAGTCGGACGGGGACCTCCAGACCAGTTGCTGTTGAGCCAGCTCCCACTCACGGCAAGCTCGCCTACGTCGGGGTCAAACCGGATCCCATAGATTTTGTTGTTCTTCTTGTTGTTAGCTACCATGTCCTGGGGCCTCTCTGAGTAGGGCCAATGGTTCATGCACTCAGCTGTTAACAGAAAGGTCAGAGGCTTGGGTACTTCTAGAGCTGTGGTTCTCAACCTTCCTACTGCCTTGACCCTTTCATACAGTTCCTCATGTGGTGGTAACCCCCAACCATAAAATGATGTTCGTGGCTACTTCATCACTGTCCTTTTGCTACTGTTAGGAATCTGTCACTGTTATGTAATTTTGTTACTGTAAATATCTGATATGCAGGATGTATTTTTTCATTGTTACAAAGTGAACATAATTGAAGCATAGTGATTCATCACAAAACAATATGTAATTATATATTGTGAAATATTTATATCTAATGACAAATAAATGGAATTTTGTCTTGAAGCACGGTGTAGCATGGGTAACAGTCTTCACGCTGGCACTTGTATGTGGGCATATCTGCATGTGGGCGGACCCGCCTGGAGACAGACAGAGGAGAGGAGTCTTGGTTCCTAAGACCATCAGAAATACATGTTTTCCGATGGTCTTAGGTGACCCCTGTCAAAGGGTCATTTGATCCCCAAAGGGGTGGAGACCTACAGGTTGAGAACTGCTGCTGCAGAGGGCCCTCGGGAGAAAGACCTGGCATGGACTAGGACATAGTCAGACGTTAGCAGCCCCTTAGAGGACAGTTCTGCTATGGCTTGGGGTCACCATGAGCTGGGACCAGTTTCCCTTATTGAGCATTGACTATGCATAGCATCCTCAGTGCTTTCTGTAGCTGGGCTGGAGCCTGCTGGTGTAGTGGCAACGTGTTGGGTTGCAATGTGCAGGGTCAGCTGTTCAAAACCACCACCAGCTCCTTGGGAGAAAGACTGGGCTTTCTACTCTCATGAACAGCTACAGTCTGGGAAACATACAGGGGGGTCACTAGGAGTCAGCATGGACTTGATGGCAGCTAGTGGCTTGTTTAAACCTGCCCCTCCCCTCCCCAACAGCATTGTCATTATTGTCATCTCAACTGCAAGCAAGAAGAAACTTCAGTGTTCTCAGGGCTAAGGTCACTTCCGATGGTCACGCGTAGATGAGGGTAAGCTTCTAACCCAAGCCCGTCTCTTTTCTTTGGAAATCGTCCAAGCTGGGTGACATTACACATATCGTGACCCACCCACCCCTACAAAGCCTCAATATATGGAACTGAGAACCATGAGCAAGTGTTTTGACCTGTTAGAAAAGAAAGAGAAAAAAAAAGGCAGGTGCTTGGAGAATTCTTGACTTGAGATATTTGAACTGTAGTCCCTCTGAACTTGGAACTCTTCTCCCTGAGCACGGAATACGGGAAGCTGGATCAAAGGGAGCAAAGAGGCCACACAAGTCACCGGCCCTCCCCCACCTGGCTTCGTGCCCAGGACAGACATCACAAAGAGACAGCCATGGAGACTGAGACTCTTTCTAAGGCCCACAGTCCAGGCAGCAGGCAGCAGGACTCCGGCTGCCCTGCTCAGGGGCCCGGCCTGGCCCTCGTCAACAGTCTCTCGTGGTGGGCCTGGGCCACAATTTCCCCCACATCCGCCCTCATCACCATCACGATGGATTTCACTTCATTGATATATGTTGATGTTCTTTCTTTATAACCGACAAAGAGTCTTTAAAAGAATCACCTCTTGTGAAATAATGGGAATAGTGTGGTAGTACTGTGACTTTAATACCTGTTTAAAGTACATGCAGAATGACCTAGGGTTGACCAACTGTGTGTGCAAGACACCTTGAGATGTTTTCGATGCTTGGAGCCCCCCAGGTGGGAAGACTGCAATCCTGGAGTCCACGAGACTTGAGTTGGAAGCCCTGTCCAGTGAGTGACCTTGGACAAATCACCTTTCTGAACCTGCATTTCTTTTTCCATGAAGTGGGAACAAGAAGACGGTCCTTGTGTTACTGCCTAAAGAGGGTGGGAATCATTCTTCTGCCCCAGGCCATTCGAATATTCATTACTTCATTCATGGCCAGACTGGTCAAACATTGAATGAACTCACCCCTACAGTGACGGTTGTAACTGCTCCTTTGTGGTGAGGTGTGCGGTGTTAGCTGGTATTGCTGATTTTGAAGGCCTCCCACGGCCCTCTGGCCAGATGTTTCCCACACCTGGTCTAAAGGATTAAAATGAACTGAATGCAATAGGCTCCAAGTTCCTGGCACAACCTGCGATACACGATAGATGCTCAGTAAACGGCATCCACTTTGACCTTTTGCGTGCTCACAGCCTGTGTTGGCAGCAGCTCCCTACCCAACACTCTTTGAACCTGGCCTCCCTCCCCTAGATGGCAAGCCAGGTGGTGCCGGGAAGGCCCGGATCAGAGCAGGTCTGCCAGGACCACAAGGTGACGTTCTCCACTGGCAAATGTTTGCCCAGAGTAGGGCGGTGTTTAAAGAGTTCTGCTCTCACTGTCTTCTCAGAGGTGCTCAGCATCGCCCTTGTGGAAACATGACTTTAGTAATAAGACTCCCTCGTGATGCAGGAGCCATTTGCTTGTGTACCGACCATGCACCCCAGAGCTCTGCACATCTGATGACGTGCCCAGCTTTTGGTGCCTGCCTTGTCCCTGTTAGGACATCTGGGGCTTCTCCTGAGGTACAGGGAAAAGTATGCAGGTCCATGAAGCCAAAAGGCGACAGGGGAGGCCTTTATTTCTCCAGACACAGCTGAATGCACCTACTGCATTGGTTTACTTTATATTCTCTATTTGGAGTCCTTTACATTCAGTGTCACTTGACATCAAAGAAGCTGCCTTTGAAGGTCTCTGTGGAACCCTGATAGCAAGTGATTCTGCATTGAGCTGCTAACCACTAGGTCAGCAGTTTGAAACCACCAGCTGCTCCCTGGGAGAACAGCAGGCTTTCTACTCCTATGAGGAATTGCAGCCTCTGAAACCCACAGGGGCAGCTCTCCCTGTTCTAGAGGGTCACTGTGAGTCAGCACCGACTCGATGGCAATGTGTTTGGTTTTTGGTTTGGTGGCACAGTTGGTGACTCATTGGACTGCTAATCATAAGGGCTGTAGTTCGAACCCACCCGCCACTCTGAGGGAGGCATAGGGAGAGAGATGCGGCACTTGGCTGCATAAAAATGTATAACCTTAGAAACCCTAAGGGGCAGTGTGCCTCTGTCCTAGAGGGTCTGGGTTTGGGTTTGGGTCATCCCAATTCGTGGACAAAAAGTTAATGACTGGGAGGAATGATGCCAAATCGCCCTCCTTATTTCAGTCTGAAAGAGCGATGTCTTTGCTCATTTACGTAGAGGCAGGAAGGAGGGGAGCCCTGTAAGTGTTTTGAAAGATGTCAGGCATGGCTCCTGGCGCGACCACTTCTGTGAACCGTGAACGTGGACGGCAGGAGGGACGCGTGGAGAAAGGTCCATCTTCGGTGCAAATGGAGCAATCTGCGTGCAAGTTGCTGAGTGTTGTGTCTCCTCCTCCCCTCGCGCATGTTGTTCCCTCTGGTGTTCCG